AAAAAAGGATTATTTTTTCCATCTCTGTGAAGAATGTTGGAGTTTTTTGTGTTGTATCTGTAGATTTATTTGGGTAGTATTGACATCTTGACTATATTAAGTCTCCCAGTCCATGAGCATGGAACATCTTTCCATCTATTGACGTCTTTAGTCTCTTTCAGCAGTTTTATAATTTTCATTGTATGTCGTTCACATCCCTAGGTAAATTTATTCCTAGTTTATTCTTAGATGCTACTGTAAATGGAGTTGTTTTATGATATCCTTTTCAGATCTCATTGCTGGTGTATACTCAGTGATTTTTGTGTTGACCTTGTATCCTGCAACTCTGCTGAATTCCTCTACTAGCTCTACAAGTTTTTTAGTAGATTCTTTGGCATTTTCTGTATATAGGATAGTCATCTATGAATAGCGATAGTTTTCTCTCTTCCTTTCCAATTTGGATACCTTTTTTTTTCCTTGCCTTACTGCTCTGGGTAGGACTTCCAGTACAATATTATACAGGAGTGGTGAGAGTGGGCATGCTTGTCTAGTTCTTGTTTTAAAGAGGAAAGTTCTCAATATTTCTCCATTGAGTATAATGTTGGCTGTTGGTTTATCATAAATGCCCTAGGAAAGTATGATCTTTATTTTGTCAAGGTTTTCCTTGCTTTCATGAGTGAAGGGCTTTCACATCCTTATACAATCTAATTACAATGAAAATTGTTCTGTGCTAGTTTTAACAACCTTTCCCACTACCTCCTATACTAAAATGCATTGAAATGATTGGATTCACTGGCTGTTTTTAAAACTTTTCAAGTGGGAAATCAACAGGGTGCAAACGAACACAGTAACATTACAGCAGGTAGGATCACAACTCTTAAATTTATTTGTAAAATAGATCCCATTCTGTTAAATACTGCAAGTAAAAACAAGAAGACAGCATCTGAGCGTTGGGGTTTGAAAATACATTTATACCAAAACCAAAACAAAAAACCAAACCCGTTGCCATCAATTCTGATGCATAGTGACCCTACAGGACAGAGTAAAACTGTGCCATAGGGTTTCCAAGGAGCCGCTGGTGGATACGAACTGCCGACTCTTTGGTTAGCAGGTGCAGCTCTTAACCACTGTGCCACCAGGGCTCCAAGTTCATTTATAGTGCTTTATTTGAACTATATGAAAATTCCGTACGAATTATCTTGTGCATTCCAAGAATCTGTCACTATCCACATCCAAATTTAGTATCCTGTGCTTGGATACTGAGAAATACTGTTACTTAAATCAATTTGGTTTCCAAAAAGTGAGTAGCAAGTTTGGATAAGGAATTATCAGCATCTTTTCATTTCTAAATTTAGATTGTGAATATTTGTTTTCTTTCAACAAATTACTAAATTTAATTCACTAATTTATGTTGCATATTTTCATAACTGATTCTGAATATGCATTTTGTGTTCTCTAAGCAAAGTTTTAACATTCTTTATGAATCACAGGATTCATAAAGATATAGGTGATAACTTGCTTTCTCAGTCTATGTCCTGGAAGTTTCTTGGACTTTTCGTAGATTTCACCCATAAAAATCTCATTTGATGATTTCTTTAGTGTAACTATTGACAGTATTTTCTTTTTTTATAGGTTTTTTTGGGTCCAGTTTTAAAATGCTCCTTTTGGAGGGGAGTCTATTAAGATTTTACACCTCTTCTCAAATCAATTCTGACAATGAACAATTTCTTACAAAAATCAGTTTTCCCTTCATTTTCATATATAGTATAAAAATATCTGTAGTACTTTTAAAAGTTTTTAAAAGTTGAATAAAATTCACATGCCATAATATTCACCCTTTTAAAGTGTACAGTTCAATGGCTTTTAGCATATTCAAAAAGTTATGCAACCATAACCACTAATCATGTAACATTTTCATCATCCAAAAAAATATACCTTTAAAATCTTTACAGTCATTTCCACTTGTCATTCAAAATATGGTCATCCTCATACGCTCACCAGAATCACTAAGGTCTACATGTTGTTTTGTCAAATAATAAATTTTTCTACTTTATATCCAGTTTATATTTTCTTTCAATTAATTTTGCCTTTTATACTTAATAACTCCTTCCTCCTCCCACATTTTGGATTTTTTTTACCGTTGTTTTAGCTCCCTGGGTTCTACAGTGATTTTACAATTTATAATCTTTCTAGTATTTTTGTATAGTCATGCATGTTAAGGTTATACAATGTTCTGTAAATACAGCTCTGCCACTCAGGTTCTATAGAAGTGTTCTCATTTACGATCACTTAAATGTGTATTTTAAGGTTTTATTTCTTTAACTCATGTTAACTGAGAGCATGAAATTAATATTCACATATTTAATAGCTATTCTACTGTTAATGTTTTCTCTAGTCAAATAATGTGACCCGTAGGTTTTCTGCTTTTTTTGAGTATTAGGGAAAATATTCTCATCTCTCCCTACTTTTTTGACGGCTGTGATTTCAACTACCCCTCATTATATCAAGTTTCATACTGACATTAATCCTTGTGCAGCATAAAAGATGAAGCCTCAATGAATACTACCCACATGTATTTTTTCCTTTTTAAAAAATACCATGATGAATAATAATGAGCTTTGTGGAAAGGCTTTCCCATACTTACTGCATTCATTTCTCTTTTTTCTATTATGAATTCTGATTTTGACAGAGGTAAACAACATGGTTAAAATCTTCTAAAAATAATTATAATAATGTATTGATGAAAATAGTGGGTAATTTTACAAAATATTTACTACGTGAAATGAATATTTCTAAGCACTTTACATTTATTAATTCATTGAATCCTCACAGCAAACCAATACATACAGCATGATTACATATACTTGTACATAATAAAACACCACTAGTATATACAAGTAAAAATAGAAAAAAAATCTAGAAGAATAAACAAATCTTTGATAACGATCATTACCTTTCTAGTATGGGATTGAGATGAGGACTGTTAATTGAAAGAAACAACAGTTTATAAAGACAAAATGTGGATAACTTCAGCACTAAAAATAGATGTTTTAAAAGAAGAAAAAAGCATTTAAAGATGAATTTGGATTCTATAAATCACGGCAGCTTTTATAATTGCAAAAATTTTAGAGCTAATCATAACATTCATCAGTATGAATGAACTCATAATGACTGCAATGGCAGCCGTAGTACATTTTAGCATGAGAAAAAGGTACAGTATACCTACCATGGAGCCCTGGTGGTAGAGTGGTTAAGAGTTCAGTTGCCAATCAAAGGTTGGCAGTTCAAATTCACTAGCTGCTCCTTGGAAACCCAATGGGGCAGTTCTACTACATCCTGTAGGGTTGCTATGAGTCGCAATTGACTCAATGGCACCTTACAACAACACCTACCATGATTACACTTTCATTAACAAAGTCTGGCAGGATTTGCTCCAACAACTTGAGATTAGTAGCCTCTAGTTGGTATTATTACAAGTAATCTTGCGTTTTCAGTTTGCACTTTTTTATGTTTTCTGTAAATCTTCTATTTACTATAAGAGCATAAATTTGTGAAAGAAAAACATTAACACTGACATCAAAAACAAAGTTATAATTCTACAGGGAATTTAAAAATAATAAAGGTAACAAAAATAGCATGGTATTGATACAAGTATAAATATGTAGATGGGGGAAAAAGATAGCTATGAAACACAAGCAAATACAAACAAGAATATACCATATCACCAAGAAGGTAAACAAAATAACAGGTAAGGATAGTATCAGACTAAATGGCATTGGGATATGATTTTCGGGAAAGGAGGACAAATATCAATTTAGACCCTGATTTATATCTTAGAGTGAAATACATCTGCATTAAAACTGAAATCAAAATAAAAATTTGAGACTTTAAAAACAATGAAAAAAGTTAACTGTCAAACATGAATTATTTATTTAAAATATTAGGAAGGTGGAAAGAGCTTTAATTTTTATTATCCATCAGTATGAATTCCTTGATGACGAACGAGGTCTGAACCACTACTAAATGTCTTCCCACATTCCTTACAGTTATAGGGTTTTTCACCAGTATGAATTCTCAGATGCCGAGTAAGGTTTGAGCATTTATTAAAGGCTTTTCCACATTCATTACATTCATACGGTTTTTCATCTGTATGAACTCTCTGATGTTGAAAAAGTTGTGAATTCTGAGTAAAAGCTTTCCCACACTGAAGACATTCAAAAGGTTTCTCACCAGCATGAATTCTCTGATGTTGATGAAGTTGTGAGCTCTGAGTAAAAGCCTTCCCACATTCCTTACAGTCATAGGGTTTCTCACCCGTGTGAATTCTCTGATGGTTAGTAAGTGCTGAACCACTACTAAAGGCTTTACCACATTCCTTGCATTCATAGGGTTTCTCACCAGTATGAATTCTCTGATGCTGGACAAGTTTTGAACTCTGAGTAAAGGCTTTGCCACATTCCTTACATGCATAGGGTTTCTCACCTGTGTGAATTCTCACATGTTGAAAAAGCTGTGAGCTCTTAGTAAAGGCTTTACCACATACTTTACATTTATAGGGTTTTTCACCAGTGTGAATCCTCTGATGGTCAATAAGATTTGAGCAATAACTAAAGGTCTTCCCACATTCCTTACATTCATAGGGTTTCTTACCAGTATGAATTCTCTGATGTTGC